ATCTGTCTCTACTTCCGCACATCTGTAGTCTTCACAGCCTCGACCATCTACACGAAGGTCTTCCTAAGTATGACAACCAACATACTGCTAAGGGAATCAGTAATGAAAAGCAAAAACAAAACAAAACAAACAAACAAAAAACCCCCACCACAAGCCAAAAACTGTGACTTTAAACTTTCCTTCTCCCACACCAAATGCAGCAGTAAAAAGGATATAAAAGCAACAGCTTGTAGTTTCACCATGGAATACAAAAGAACCTATACTTTTTAATTTATATCTCATTTATGTAGAGCTTGTAACAAGCAATCTGCAGGCTGACATGAATTGCACCGAGTCCCTCTAATTCCCAAAAGAAAGTTTCAGATTTCATAACTGTAAAGGTCTTGGCTTTAATTGGTACTTTACCTAACACAACCCAGCTCCATCCTGGCATAGGCAAGTTCACTACTTTTACATCAGTAATTAGGACCCCAGCAGACAAAAATAATACAACAGCCTTCCAAATGCTTTCATCCATTTGTATTCCACAAACGAGTATTATACATCCTCTGATACTATACAGCTTGTTTCCATAAAAACACGTTGTTTTTCAGTAAACTTCAGTAAGAATACAATTCTTTTCTCTTTGGGGCTTCTCCTTAAGCACCCTTCACTCTTCCTCCTTTGTCCACTCATGTTCCTTTGCTAAATTACAGGCTAAAACTCTATGCAATGGCAATAACTTGAGGAAGAGCCAGGGAAGAGCAAGGAAAGAGAAGCAAAAAAAAAAAAAGAAAAAGCAAGAGGGGACAGAAGGATATTAATCTCTTAGAGATCATCCAAAGGAGGGCAATGAAGATGGTGAAGGGCCTTGAGGGGAAGTGGTTTGAAGAGATGCTGAGGTCACTTGGTCTGTTCAGCCTGGAGGAGACTGAGGGGAGACGTCACTGCACTCTACAGCTTCCTCATGAGAGGAAGAGGAGGGGCAGGCACTGATCTCTTCTCTGTGGTGGCCAGTGACAGGACCCGAGGGAATGGTCTGGATTTGTGTCAGGGGAGGCACAGGTTGGACATCGGGAAAAGGTTTTTGACCCAGAGGGTGGCTGGGCACTGGAAAGGGCTCCCATGGGAAGTGGTCACAACACCAAGCTCGACAGAGCTCAAGAAGCATTTGGACAATGCTCTCAAGCACATCGTGTGTCCCCTGGGGTGCTCTGTGCATGGCCAGGAGTGGGTGAAACTCGTGGCTTCCTTCCAAATCAGGATATGATGTCATTCTGCGAAAACAAATCCACGTCCCGCTCTCAGCCGGCTTCCCGTCCCGATGCTCGATGTGCAGTGATAACTCCAGAGGTTCGCCACCAGACACAACGGGGGAGGGCTCCCTCCCTCCCCTCCCTCCTCCCCAGCCCAGCTCGCTCCGTGCCGCCGGTACCTGCACGCCGTGCACGATGTAGAGCTTCTCCGCCTCGCTCAGCACCACGGACGCCATTCCCGCCGCCTCCCGCCCGCACCTGCGCAGTGCCCGCTTCCTGCCTGCCTTCCTGCCCGCCCTCCATCCGCCCGCCGGCACGGATAGCGGGGACGCTGCCGGCTATCCCGGGCTGGTGTTCCCCCCGCCCAGCCGGCACCGCCGCCCCACAGCGAGGGCTCCCCTTGCCTGGTGGCCAAGCGCGGGGTGCAGCCGGGAAGCCACAGAAGCCTTTCACGTACCGCTCTGGACACGGTACCCACTGGGCACCCCGCATCCCGGAAAACGTGTCCCGTCCCAGCAGCTGACCCTCGCGGTAAAAACAAAGCTCCCGCTTTCTGCCAAAAGCTCCTCCAGGAGGCTGTGGAGGCATCCCGGTGCACAGCAATGGATCGCATGGTCATAGTTCTCTGCGTTTCCTCATTTTCCTTGTGGAGTTTTTAATCTCAGAAAGGTCCAAGCGAGGTGCGGTGCGCGGGGAAGGCTGGTGCGGGAGCAGGGAAGAAACCAAATGCTTTCCTTAAGGGATTCTCATTGTGAAAAACGCCAATCACTTGTTTTTAAAAGTTTAATTATAATAAAGTAGTTATAAAAATAGTAATACAATTACAGTAATAATAATTTGGACGATTTGAATTAGGACAATATGAGACAATAGAGACAAAGAGTTATGGACGTCCGGGTACCTTTTTCTGGGCAGCACGAGCCTGAAAAAGGATCCCCCGTTAACAAAGGATTAACCCTTAAAAACAACAGCCTGTTGCATATTCATACATCTCATACATGATGCATAAATTCCATTCAAAGACAAGATTCTGTCTGGTCATCATCAACTTCTTCCTCTGAATCCTAACAGCACCTTCGAGGCGGGAAGAAGTTCGTTTCTTCTGATAAGAGGGCAATAAATTCTTTTTCTCTGAAAGATTTAGGTGTCCTGTGGCTGCTCTCTCACTGCGAGTCCTTTCTTGAAAAAAAGTATCTTACATAGCATAGTTTCTATTTTAACATTTCTTATAACCTAAAACTATATTTAACACACTACTTAAGAGAATTAATACAGCATTACTTTCTAACACAAGACATATAACATTCATTTTAATATTTGCGAAAAGCCAATCATAAAATATGCATTTTTCACATCTTGGTCCTGTGCCAGATATTGCTGGGAAAGTGGCGTGAGAAATGTGATTAAAAACTCACAGTATATATTAAAACAATAATTAAGGGTTGGGTTTTTTTGACAGCCTTAATTGAAAGTTTCATAACAGTCATTAATGTAAGTTTGCATGCTTTTTTGCACAGCTCCTGTGTGATAATTTTCAGAGTATTTTAAAAGATTCTATCTTGACTTCACACTTATGCTTGCTTGGCTAAAAATGATCCATGGCTCCCAAGGATTACTCAGCACACTGCCAAAGTTTATGCAGCTTTCCACAACTCCTTGTTGTACAAAGCATTCCTGTCTGTGCCTACTCGAGGAGGTGGCATGATGCAGTGGGAGCAAACAAGAGTGATGGATGGTTTTGGGAGTTTTAGCTTGGTCTGGTCCCATTGGTAGGCTGCTTATCAATCAGCAGTTGGGGCAGAGTGGATGCATTTTTGGGACTCTTCCCATAGCTTATCTGCATTTGAAAGGAGCCACATTTCTGCACACTAGGGTTGTATGGGCATTGCTTACTGCTTCTTGGTGGGGAGAGCCAGCAGTGGAGCCTGGTAGAGCTGGGAGCTTGGGTAGCTTGTCCTCCCCACTCACCCTAGGGAGGTGAGCAGGGCCAGGTCTCCTTGCTGGCCCACAGGAGTGCCAGACAAAGACAGTGCCCATGCATGAAAGGCCCTGCTTTGTATGTTCTCTCTGAAGCAGCATCTGCCAGTGCTGCTGTCCAGCACAGCCTAACCCTTCATTTGACTTGCAGTGCGATATTTGTGTCCTTGCATTGCACGGTGTGGACCAAACAAGAAGTAAGAAGTCAGAAACTCTCTGAAGATGTGAGTGAATTCTTGATCTGAAGCAGTGTTAATGCAGATGCACCCCATGATTTCCACTGAGAACATAGGGAGATGACATTCTGGCTCTCATCTCACTTCCTGACTCTTATGGCTTAGCCCACAGCAGCTAACAGTTACAATTGCCAGGAAAGAGTGATGTGTTAATTTTTTTGCCACTTCTGCCCCCCCCAGCTTGGAGTCTGCTTAATGTTAGTCAAATTCTTGCACAGTCCAGAGGCTCAGCTAGCAAATCTTGCTCACATGCAAACAGCAGTCTTTCAAAGGTGGGAGGAGCCCAGGTTTGGCTCGTTTTTCCTCAGGGAGGGCAGAAGGCAACCTCTTGCCCTAAAGAGCACTTCTGAGGACATTCAAATTCCAGCAGAAGGCAGCAGTGAAGCTTATCATACAAAAAAGGATGCCACTTGTTTCTTGGGTTTGTTTGGGTTTGTATGTTGGGGTTTTTTTTTAACCAAGGAAAAGCAGTATCTTTTAACTTCATTGTGGTAAATGAATGATGTGTGTTGGCCCACGTCATGGTTTGACACTGGCTAAACACCGGGCACCCATGAAAGCTGTGTGCTGATCTTCTCTTGCTCTCAGCTGGGCAGAGGAGACAAAAAAAATAATGGAGGGCTCATGAGTTGAGGTGAGAACTGGGAGAAACTCAGCCCTTGCTCTGGCTCTGAACGCGCCACCTGCAGTAGAGTGCTCTGTCACAGAATCACAGTCACAGAACGGGTACAGTTGGAAAGGACCACTGTGGGTCACCTGGTCCAGCCTCCCTGCTCAAGCAGGGCTGTCCTAGAGCACACGGCACAGGATTGTTTTTGAGAATCTCCAGTGAGACAGACTCTATAACCTCTTTGTACAACTTCTTCCAGTGTCACCCACACAGTAAAGAAGTTCTTCCTCATGTTCAGGTGAAACTTTGTGTGCATCAATTCTGCCCACTGCCCCGCATCCTAGTGCTTGGCACCGAGAGGAGCCCAGCTCCATCTCTTTGGCACACCCACACCCCCTCCTTTCAGACATTTATACACATTAATGGTGTCCCCTCTCAGTAGTCTCTTCTCGAGACTGAACAGGCCCAGCTCCCTCAGCTTTTCCTCCTAGAATGATACTCCAGTCCCCCAAACATCCTCACTGCTCTGCACTGTACAGCTCCTCCTTGGGTGCCAACAGTTTCTGGATACCTGCAAACCAAAACTGCCCTGAACCCGCCTGGGGCTCAGAGGTGCCCGCTGAGGCAGAACCATCCGTTCCCATGCCAAAACAAAAAAGTGTGGGGTTTTCCCTCAGAAAACCCACATTTCCCCCTAGGGACCGGCACGCCCGGGCCGTTAACGCGCAGTGGGCACAGGCGGTCCGCAGCCGCCCGGGCCCAGCCGCCGCCGCCGGGGAGCCCTTGGCGGGGCGGGGAAGGGCAGGGCCGGGCCGCGCTGCCTCCCGCCGCCGCCGCCGTTCACTTCCTGGTTCCTCCTGGCGGCCGCTCCACCTCCGCGCAAGGGGCGGGCGGGCGGCCGGCGGAAGGGGGGGTGCGGTGCCGTGCCGTGCCGTGCCGCTGCCGGCGCGGGGGCGGCGGGGCGCGCCGGACCCGCGGCGGCGGCGGCGGCCACTGGGGTAGGTGGGTGCGACTGACAGCGCGGGGCGGGGGGTGCTGGGGGGCGGGCAGGTGTGTGCGCCGGCGGAGCGGGGCGGGGGCGGGAACTGGGAGCAGAGAGCGGGGAGCCGGGAGCGGGCCGCCGGTGGATGCCATCCCGCCGCTGCAGCAGCCGCCCCCCGGCCCCGCCGCTGTCCCTGTGGTGTCCCCGGCCCGCGCGGCCCCTCGGCCGTACGTGCGGGAGCCCCGGGGTGGCGCGGCCGCCCAAGGGCCGCGCGGGGCTCCGCATCCCTCGGCGGGGCCCCCGGGCCAGGGCCGGGCGGCGGCTCCTGTCCCGCAGCGGCGTCCCCGGGACCTGTGGGCATCGGTCGGGAAACGGGCGGAGGGCTCCCGCTCTCACCTCGCCGCCTTCCAGCGCTGGGCTTTAAACACTGGGAAGCTGAACGCGTTAAATGATAGCGTGCTAAGTACGCGGTTTAGGTCTGCTCCGCGGCCTTTCGGAGCAGCGTTGAGTCCCCTCGGCAGGAAATTTAAAGTCGGAGCCTCCAGCGATTTCTTCGGGGTCCCGTGACCTGTCGGTGGATTGCAGTGGTTCTGTAATTTGCTAATGCGTTGCAGAGATGGGAGCAGCTGGACAGCGAGTGGAGCTGACCGTGTCGCTTCCGAGGTGGCCCTGGTCACCATGCGTGTGGCTGTCCCATGGCCCCATCGGCCAGGTGCGCCCCCGGCATCGGCAGCGATCCCTGGCGAAAGCATTGTGCTGGGCTGGGCTGTGCTGTGGCGGGTTTAGTTGAAATGGATGGTGAGTTTTACGTGGCTGTAGCAAGCGATCCGGACTGGTTTAGAACGGCAGCTTCTGAGTGCTACTGGAGTTGTTCCGTAAGGTTAATTTTTAAGAAGAAGCAAGAGTTCACGATGGCTCATTAGAAAATAGTCTTCAAGAAAATAATCAAGCAAACAGGCCTTGGGGAGGAGGGGGCAGCAGTCTGGTCCCTGATGGGCTCTCCACTTGGTGTGTACCATTGAGGGATGTAGGATGGACAGCAAAGTTCATTTAGATGTCTTTCCTTTGATCCCGATTCAGAAAAGCTAAACTGTGTTATTCAGCATTAGAGAGAGCGACAGTGTGCCAGACTCCTGGCACAGCAAAGGTGTGTGTGGAATGTCAGATCTGTAGGAAAGGAGCCCAAATTTGGATGGTTGTTCTGATACGGTGGAATCGCAGAGAGGGGAGGGACTGGTGACTTACTGTGAGTGACTGCATTGGGTGTCTTGTGGTGTACCTAGCAAGGCATTAGTGAGGACCATGTTTCCTTTGCTTAATGAAAGCAACAAATAAGTCTTTCTCCTAGCGTTACAGGCATTTCAGTGATAAGAGTCATCATAAGGGGAGCCACGCCACTCTTACGTCTTTTGTAAATGCAGCCTCATGTGCAATAAAGATGCACTCCTTCAAAGGCCACGACTCTGTCAGCGTAGCTCTTGGTGCTGCCTCACTGATGCAATAGTGTTTGTCACACCAGAGGGACCTGCTGCTGGTAGTAAGTTGTGTCTGACTGAATGTTCATTGAGACTTACAAGGTGCGGCCCAGAAACTCTTGTGTGTTTATAGGTTTATGAAGGAGCAAATATCAGGTGTACCTAAACCCCAAAATATTTGTTGTGACATTTAGGACCTGTAGCAATAACATCTATTGGGTATTCTCATGTATGTTTCTGCTTCCTTTTAATTTTCATTTAAAGTGATGTAGTTACAGACAAGGGTGTCTATTTCAGTTTGAAATTGCTTGTTTGGTTGTAGACCAAAGTACACAAATGTAATTTAATCCAGATAATGGGAGCAGGTTGCAAGAAGATGAATGCCTAATTCCTCAGCAGATGCAGGTCTGCTGTGCCCAAGTAGTTATGTGTTTTTTCTGGGCAGTTTCCTTTGCGTCAGCGCAGGGGAACAGCTGACAGTCTTCAGCAGTGTGTGTGTATCCTGGGCAGTGGTAGCTCAGCTTTGGTGAATCTTTTTCTTACCTAATATGAATTTACTTTTTTCAGTGGGTGGATTGCTGTGCACCTCCAGCAGAACAGGAGCTAGCAGTGCTGCATAGTCCATGCAGTTTAAACCGTGTGTTGCATGATTTCAGAAAGACTTGCTCATGGAGCCAGTTTCACTGTGCAGACATTTCCCATACAGCTCTAACAGGTCATCTCTCCTGTAGAGGAGACTAGATGGGCACCCACAGTGGTGTCAGTCTGAAAATGGACTGGCTGTAGCTCAGCCAGTCTCTCTGCAGATGTTAGTTGGCTGAGCTTATGCTTTTCTCTGATGCCTCTGCAGTGTAGACCTGACCTTTTTCTTAGGGCAATATTCAGGTATACAGTTTTTCTGCCTTCCTGACAGAAGACAGCAGATAATGTAAAATATGACACAACAGAATAGCTTGTTGTCAGTTTTTATTTCCCCCATCCTGTGCTTAGCTGGCTGAAGCAAACTGAATGTGACCGATTGCACCTGGAACATCATATTTAACCTGTGCATGTAACTGATCTGAAGCTTTGGGTTGTGTTCGAGAAAAGGAGAAGTTAAAGCTTTCCTAATTGAAGCTGTGTGTTTCCTGGGTTGTGCAGGCAATAAGGAAAGAAGATAGCCCTTGCCTGGAGCTGCAGTGCAGCAAGTCTGCCACATTGTCCTTTGGAGAGGGAGTGCAGGAACACGAGCCAGCTTGTTTGCAGGGTGTGGGTGCCAAAGACCTCCCCATATGGCAGCAGTTCCCTGCTAGTGAGGTGCAAGGTGTTAGAGGCAAGGTGCAGCTGGGTGCTGGCTCACTGCATGGGAGCACTGGTGTGTTAACTCCTGTCATTTGCTTCTGGCTGTGCCCCCAGCCTGGGGGCTGCTTGGGAGTGCTTCTGGAGACTGGAGTGAGAGATTTGTCTGGGCTTATAGCCCCATATCTCTCTTTGCACCACCAGGGTGACCATACAGAGCCCGTGCTGTTACAGGAGAAGAGGTAGAAGTGCAAGAGAAGGGGGAAAAAAGAAAGAGAGGATAGATATGGAAAGGTAAGGAAACGAGAGGGTACAGCATCAGAATTCAGCTAGAAAAATCTTGGGAAGTTCTAGGAGCAAGTAAAACAGCAAGTAAAAAAAGGACACAGAGGACTCACTGTTAAGATCCTTTGACAACAGAGGAATGTTGAATGAGAGGAAATGCAAGGCCTTTGTTGTTCCTGCTCCTGGGCTGGTGGTGGATGGTGTGTTTGTCATGTTCAGCTGTGAGTTTTGCAATAACGCAGAATTGACAGGTGACCAATCTTAAGTGTGGTGCAGTGTGCAGAAGTTAAAACAAGTGGGCTGAAGCTGAAACGGTGTGAGTGAGTAAAGGGAGTGTACTATGCTCTTGAAAAAAAAAAAAAGTAAAAAAAGACATGCAGGCTTAGTGGGAAGGCAGTAGTACCATATCATAGATTACAGGGAGGATTGTAACAGATGATAAAGGTAGGTAATGTGATATGCATTCTTTGTTCTTTGCAGTGGCCACTTGAATTACAGATGTCCAATACGGTACAGAATAGATAAGGAAGATATTATATATGGTAGCTACCATATATTAATTTATTTCTTTGTATTACAAAAGAAAATTAAGGTTTACACACAGAAACTGTTTTTTATGTCAGCAAGGATCCCTGCTGCTTGCCAGCGCTAAAGTGAGCAAAACAAGAAATGCTTAGTTTGCAGTTTGCCAACTCAGATGTTCTTTGCTATGTTTCAAAAGCTTTAACCTACAGCAACTTTGAACCTGCAGGTTTTTCCAGTTCTCTGAAGTAGCAGCATATGTTTCTTCCAGTTGTGATTTTAACTTTGCGGGATAGAGGTGATAATTGTTTGGTCCCTGTGTTTTTAATGTGCTATTTTAATGTATGCCCTGTGTACTTTCTGTAGTTGGCTTAGGGATCTGCTTTGGTGTAGTATGTGGATTTGAAATCTAAATGCCTTACAGCCTTTATACCTACATCTTTACTTACCCATATGTGACAAGGCAGAATAATAAACTACAGGCAGGGGAATAAAATCAGAGAGTGAGTGACTTGTTCATGCTTGTGAAGAGGGGGCTGTAGCAAAAGCAGGTGAGAGCCAAATCCTGCGATAGACCATCTTGAGTGAAAACCTATGTCTGGTAGTTAAAGTGCTCTTTCTGACTTGAAAGATAGTAGTTAAAATATTTTTTTAGACCGGAGGGTTTCTGCCAGCTTCTTATTACGATTAAAACTTTAAAGCTGCAGCTCTGTCTTGCTCTGCAAAACATATTCCTTATGCCAGGAAAGTTGTGTGGTTTTTAAAATTGAAACTAAAAATAATACCAGTTTTATAGATAAGCCTTTCCCTTTATTTTTTGTCTTTGTTAAAAAAAAATGTTGATAAAGGACAAATTGAGAATTTATGTTCCCCTAATCCAGTGGCTTGCTGTTTTGAGTCCTGAGTCAGCATGTAAATTGCAAAGCTGTCTAGAGGACCAGGACAGCTTCTCCTGTTCTGTCTCTCATAAGGCTGTGCATTCAGGATAACTGCAGTGGAAAGCATGACATCCCCATCTGTTGTTTTCTGTTTCCTGGTGCAGTCTCTTCTGCACGATTGCTCTTTCCTTCCAATGCTTAACTTTAGATAGGTGGCAATGCAACAAGGATGGTATGTTCAGGATTCGTATTTCTCTTTTGGCATGGGTTAAGTAGCTTGTGTGTATTTGGTTTATTGGGAAACTGGGAGATTGAAGTAACAGAACATCTCTGTTGCCCTTGCAGCTCTGATAGTTAGAAACTTACCAGTTATTTTCTAATGGTTCATTACTTAATGACAGTTTTATAAAGTACCTTCTATCTCTGATGAAAGACTTACTAAGATCACTGACTGTGATCAGACCAAGTCAGATCCAAGTCTGACCTCAGTCTTGGTGCCCTTGTGATTTGTGCCCTGTTTCTACATGTTGCCCCAATTTTGTCACTCATCCATAGTGGTCCAGTGTTTTTGTACCTTG